ACAAAATGGCGGAATAAATATAAAATTATTTTATTTCTTTTTCTTAATTTTACCACTCTCTATTTATTTATTTATTTAGTGTAGTACATGAATCGTAAGCTAATTAAATTTAGTATATATGAATATGACTTTATTGCACCACACATACTAATCTTACTTATTATTTGCGATTGTATTCGCTTTACAGTTTTTACGTACAATTATGAGGCACATCTCTAGTAATTGAAAAAATTATCGCTACTAAGCATAGTACGTAACTGCGCATGCAAGTGAAATAAATAAAACTTATAATTTTATTACTAACAGTAACTTTATTAATTTAACAGTGGTAGAGCCACGCGGCAGCATTTGCTGTAACACATATAGGCCAGCTCGAACCGGAGTGGTACCACGACCTCTCATAAGACCAGCGTGAAGTAGAAGCTCCGCTTCTGCATTTCGTCTGGTGAGTGCAGGTGGCCGGAGGCCCAATCCCCCCCCCCCCCCCCCCCCTCTTATTACATGGTAATACACTACTTCAGGAGGGTACTAGCATCCCTGGTGACGGGGAATCCCCCGCTGAGCATCCACGCCCAAGCTACCCTACTCTTCCTGAGCGTGGGTGCTCAGGCTGACCCGCGTATTCTGATTCTCTCCGGCTGATACTTCGTATCTCTCCTACCCGGGCTACAAATTAGAACACTCCTTTGTGCCTTGGGCTAGAGTTTGAGTATAAGTCAGAGAGGACATCTGTTTTCGCCGCTTCGGCAGCTTTGAAGGTACGGACCTGTACATCTTATGGCTGCGCGTAGACAACAACGACCATCCCCGCGTCTACGGGTGCCTATAGGTCCCATAGCGGCAATGTTGACACAGACAGACTCATCGACCACGTCCAAATGGCTGCATACTCCGTGTAACAATAGGTCCCATCCGCAGAGGACGTAATGTTTGGTGATTTTAATGCCCAGCACGCTGAATGACTTGGTTCTTGTTTAATCGATCATGCGGGTAGATCTGTTTATGACTTTGTTTTGGCATATGGTCTGACACAACTGGTTACCTCGCCTACGCGGATCCTAGATGTGGCAGATCATGTATCTTCCCTGTTGGACCTTCTGCTGACCTCTCATCCGGATGGATATCAGGTCTCCGTCGATGTCCCTCTTGGCTCCTCGGACCATTGTCTGATTCGGACTATGGTGCCAATCACGCTCCTATAGCGGTTGCGTTCTGCAGGTTGCCGCCGTGTTTGGCATTATAGGTCAGCCGATTGGGACGGGATGCGGTCTTTTTTTGCATCCTACCCTTAGAGGTGGGTTTTCTTCTCGCCTGATGATTCCAGCGCGTTGTTGCTGATTCTGTCGCTGATGTAGTACTACAGGGAATGGAACTTTTCATTCCATCATCTGTGGTACCAATGGGAGGCAGAACTCAGCTATGGTTTGGTCGCTCCTGCAAAATTGCATTACGCCATAAGCAAGCACGCTACCAGGCCTGGTCTGACGCATCGACGTCTCAGGTTGCAAATACCAGCGCTCTTAAAAAGAAGTATAATTCCGCCTCCAGCTCCTTCAAAAATGTCATTGTTAAGGCAAAGTTAAAGCACATCGGCAGAATTGCCAAGAATCTAGTTAGTATTCCTTCGGAAACCTGTACATTCTGGTCTCTCGCCAAAGGGAACTTCTGTCAGCCATCTCTCCCATCTCTGCACAGGGAGGACGACTCACTGGCCCATGCCATAAAGGACAAAACCGATCTGCTAGGCTCTCTTTTTGCTTCCAACTCGACTCTTGATGACGAGGGGAACACACCGCCGACCATCTCGCGGTGTGAGTGCTCCATGCAGCAGGTGCTGTTTAGGTAACACTCGGTGCGGAGAGCACTGGGGAGAGGCCCTGTACGTCAATAAGTCGAGTGGGCCTGATGGCGTCCCTCCTATTGTACTGAAGACGTGTGCTTCAGAGTTGGCACCGGTTTTAACGCGTCTTTTCCGGTACTCCTACTCCTTAGGCGTAATCCCGAAATCATGGAAGACAGCTTTCCCGATCCCTAAAAAAGGTAACCGCTCTGATGTGTCCAACTATAGGCCTATCGCCATCACCTTGTTCTCTAAAATGATGAATTCCATTATTAACAGCTAGCTCATGCGGTACCTTGAGGATCACCAACTGATTAGTGACCGTTAGTACGGTTTCCGTCGCGGTCGCTCGGGTGGTGATCTTCTGGGTTACCTAATTCATAAATGAGCGGAGGCAGTAGAGTCCAAGGGGGAGGCGTTGGCCGTTAGTTTGGACATAGCTAAAACCTTCGATCGGGTCTGGTACAAAGCGCTTCTTACGATGCTTCCTTTCTATAAGCTTCCCGAGAAATTGTGCGATTGGATCACCAGTTTTCTCGCAGATCGGAGTAGACGGTGCATGCTCCAAATACAAGCCCATTAACGGTGGTGTTCCACAAGGCTGCGTGCTATCGCCAACGCTGTTTCTCCTGCATTTCAATGGCATGTTGCAAATCAGTAACATTCACTGCTACGCGGATGACAGCATTGGTGATGCTTTATACGCCGGCTGTGCCAATATTTTTCGGGAAAACATTGCCGAGTACCGGGACGAACTTGTTTCTGAAGTCGAGAGTATTGAACAAAATCTCGGACTAGGTACAACTAAATCTAGTCTAGTTCAATCCCCAGAATACACAAGTTTGCGCGTTTACCGCTAAAAAGAACCCTTTCCTCGTATCTCCTCAGTTTCAAGGCACTCCCCTTGTTGCCTCAGTCAGTATCGGAATCCTCGGTGTCGACATATCGAGTGACGTGCAGTTTCGTGGTCACTTAGAAGAGAAGGCCTCCAAAAATCTTGGCGTGCTCAGCTAAGCGGGACAGTATTTCACGCTGGCACACCGCCTGCAACTTTACAATGCGCAGGTTCGGCTGTACATGGAATACTGTTCTCGTCTCTGGGCTAGGGCTCACCAGTGCCAACTCTTTCCATTTGATCGCATCCAGCGCAGAGCTGCTCGAATCGTCGGCGACCGAACACTTTCCGATCGGCTTCTCTCACTGACACTGCGAAGAGATGTTGCATCTAATTTGCGTATTTTATCGCATTTACCACGGGGAATGCTCTGAGGAATTGTTCGAATTAATTCCAGCCGCATAATTTCACTATCACACATCGCGACAAAACTCGCGATACCATCCATACCATCTGGATAACTCTCGGTCCACCACTGTGCGATTTAAAAGAAGTTTTCTTCCTCGCACAACTTCCTTGTGGAATCGACTACTACCACAGAGATTTTTCCGGACCGATACGACTTAGGGACCTTCAAGGAAAGAGCGTACTCCTTTTTAAAAGGCCGGCAACGCATCTGCAATTCTCCTGGTGTTGCAGTTGTACATGAGCGGCGGTAATCACTTACCAGCAGGTAAGCCGTATGCTCGTTTGCCCCCTCTCCTATAAAAAATACCTAAATTAAGTGAGATGTTTGAAGTGAATGTTAATCTAATAGTTATAACAGAATATAGAAAATTAATAAAAACAAATCAGTCAGTGTTATTTTCTCATAGTTTAAAAATTTTTCGTATCATGTAAACGCACGCAAGTTACGTTCTAGTGACCTGTCAACCTATCATCCGCACCATGCTACAACGCATAGACTATTATCGGTCACTGCCTCGATGATAGCTAGCAACTATTTAAGCAGTGTGTCACGATAGAAATTTTATACAGAATGTGTTCTCTTAGTAATTGTTGCCTACGAATTAAACTTCACGGTATAAACGAATCTAAAGTTGAGTACAAAAATGAACTTTTTGTAAAGAATTAGTCCTAAATCGACGTGATCATAATGATATTTTTGATTATAATTGCGTGTGTTGGTTATCGGAATTATTGTAGTAAATTTCGCAAATGAAATTTTTGGTGTCTATAATTCCTTTATGAAATAGTTAAGACTGCAAATAAATTATTACCTGGCGTTATTTGCTAAATTAAATGAAATGGCCCTAAAAAGTATGTATTGAAAAACTTGTAATAAAAAATCTCGCAAATTCAATTTTTTCGTGCCAAATTTTTTTGTATTTAATTATTTTATTGCAAATTAATTATTACCTGACGTTATTTGCGTGGCTAAAATTATGTTTAATTTTATAATATAGAACTATACTATATAACAGTAATAATGAATTTTGGAGATTTATTACATAATTGACAATCAATAGAATATTAAATGTTGTGAAAGTAATGCATGCCGTCTTAGTGCCTTCATCGGTTTAATATTTTTAATCATCTAATAGGCTACATTTTAGCTTAGGTGAGAATTTCTACGATCATGCTAAGTAAACAAACATTGCGCGCTGTAAGTTTAATGAGTCCGCCGATTTCTATCGTCGTCATCATAATATGCATTTTACCTTTTTTATATAATTTTTTAATTAAAAGAATAACTTGTAGGCCGGTAATTAATATTTGCAAAACTATTCTAAAGTTTGGAATTGTTCCAGAAATAAGTAAAATTACGAAATATTTTCAGCATCACATCTTTTAGAACTGACCATATAAATAGTCAGCCATGTACTAACACCAGATACGATTTTAAAATTTAAAAGAAAAATTGATAATGTTGCAAATATCATTATCTCGCGTGATTTTTTCCAGCGTTTTCAGTGAGGGCTTATAATGTTCTGCTCACCAGATGTCGCTAGTTGGGACTAAAATAAGGTTATTTGTTATATTATAGTGTCAATATTATTAAAAAAGTTGAGTTTTAAATAAAAGTTTTTCTATCTCTAATATATGTATATACTGTCGTGAGCAAAAAAAATCGACTTAGGCGACACATCTGCAGTCGCAAGTCACTGGCAATAAACTACCCTTTTTACGCTTGTTTACAATAGTACTAATGAAGAGTTACTGACCCATATAAAGGTTATCTACCTGACCCACCCTTATCGGTTAACCGTCAAACGTCAACCGATACACATCTCCATTATTAACAACCAAGAATTCTACCTGAAAATGGACACAATAAGTGATGAAGCTACTCAAACGGTCACCCTATTGCGACAAGGCCAGACTCAGCGTGAAGTGGCACATGCGCTAAACATGAGCCAGTCTGCTGTTTCCAGAGTTTACCGTCGTTACCAAGAGACTGGTAACTTTAATCGAAGACGCGGTTCCGGAACAAAAAAGTGCACATCGGAGAGAGATGCCAGATTCATTGTCAGCTCATCGCTGAGAAATCGGGCCCTCACTGGCGTTCAAGTCCAACAAGAGGTCAGAGAAACGCGAGGAGTGGCTGTGAGTGGCTGGACAGTCAGAAGACGATTTAAAGCAGCTAACCTTGAACCAAAAAGGCCAGCTACTGGCCCCAAATTAACCCCAGCAGCCTGCCTATGATTTACCAGAAGACACGTTGATTGGACTGACGAAAAAATTAGACGATTAAAATCAGAAATAGAATGAAAGCTTCAGATTTTTTGCTATAGACTTTTAACCGCGAGCGTGCGTCCTGAGTCGATTTTTTGCTCACGAGTGTATGTATATATACAAAACAATGCCTCTGTTTAAAACTATTTTTAATTCTTCTATTTTTAGGAATAGCCGTAGTTTTTTTTTGTTTTTTTTCTATCACATTAATTTAAAATATAACGAATATTTCGGAAAGAAACATTAAATTCTACATATTTCTATAATGTGTCAATTTAAATATGTCAAATATTTCACCTCATTCTATAGCGGCGCCACTCTAGTGGCAGAAAAAGTTGTGGAAGCCCCCATTGTAAACGCTTATAATTAATGTAAGTATATAAACATGCAAAAATATTATTGCGTAGGTACTATAATTATAAAACCCGACAGCTACAGATAAGAATGTGCCGACTTAAATATTAGGAATATGACTGCATGATAAGTAGATTAAATTCGTTCTTAGCTTAGTAGTAGTTAGAGTGTAGTGACGATATCGGGTAGTCTTGCCTATAAAGGTTATAATCGAAGTTGGATGATATTCTTTACCGTTGTCTTCCGACTCTTACAGCCTTATTATACTTGTCAAAATGGCAGTTGGAAATAATCAATAGTAAAGGCGCTTCTGCACCTAGCGCCCTTAAGCTAGCCATGGGCGAGTCCGATGTGCTTAACCACAATCCGTGCATAACCCCAATCTAGTACACAATCATCTCTCGTTCCCCGACTAAGTCGATTGTTGCGGTCAACTGACTCGGCGCTTCCTTCTTTTGCTGGTTCTCGTTTGCTCACATCGAATTGTACGTATACGCTCTGGACTCGAATCGAGCCAGTTCAATCGATCGAGAATCAATTCGCATGTTTGCATATTCGGTGTGTGGCCATATCATTGAGCAGATTTATGAACGGGATTGGGATTATGTTGTAATTATATTTATTTATGGTACCTCGGCAAAGTTTTCGGTATAATAGTTACACTTACAACAGTTGACTCAGCGTCTCAACTATAGGTACATTCTACAGATTCGATGGTTAATTTGGTCTAACGTATCTTTTAAAGAATCCCATATGCAATCTGTGCATATGCGACAACCTTCATCCGTTTTTTTTTAATTTTTTATAGGAGAGATGGCAAACGAGCATACGGCTCACCTGATTGTGAATGATTACCGCCACCCATGAACAACTGCAAATGAATTGTAGATGCGTTGCCGGCCTTTTAAAAAGGAGTACGGTCTACGTTTACAATAATAGTTTTGAGTACTGATTTACCATGTATTTGACAATGAAATAAAAGTAGCGTAATAAAAAGCTGCACGTTAGTTTTGACGGGAATTGCCAAATGGTAAAGAATATCATACGGCATTAAGTCCGACCTTTGTAAAAGAAATAAATAAATTTAATGACAACATACTTCATTCACTATAAACTTGAAACATATTCATCTCCAAACTAATAGATAAATAATATAATATAAGCTCTTTTAGCTAGTATGAAAATTTGTATACATTAGTTATAAGTTATTATGTAATACTTGACATAATTTGTATTGTGTATATTGTAAAGCCTTAGATTAATCTTTGATTTATTATAATATTACAATTAATGTATTAAAATAATATTAATAGGTTTTAATTGTTAGTGGTGGGTGAATATCGATACGGATTCATGATAAAATTAAATTGACAATTACTTTGTAATCCGCTCAAATTTTTAAGGTTAATTCAAAGTAAACCAAAGAATAAGATGTTTTTCTTCAGTTATTTAATTTGCTGAGTGTGTATTGTATTTTTATTATTTTGTATTATTGTTATTTTTATTGTATATAAACATATATAATAATACTTCCGTTATCACTATTTTCATAACCATAAGTATAATAATAACATTAAGCATTCTATACGGTACGATAATTTTGTCGCTATGTCGTTAAGTTGCGGCTACTGACTGTCCTGCGACTATAAGCAATAAATATAGTTTATTAAGTACCTATTATTAGTCATTTGCTAGTATGTCGATTTAATCGAAGTGTGCTGGAATTTTTTGGCTGCCGAAGCATGTATGTTTAATGATATGCTTGAAATTGTTAAAATAATAATATATACAGTTAATACATAAATATTGATAATCAAATGTTAGATTGACAGCTGTCAATTGTCATCTTAATTTCTGATTACTGCTTAAAACAAGTAAGCGCATCTATGGAAACGGAAACTAGTCATTACTCTGTGTGACGTTGCCAAACTAGGAAAAAAAAAACAATGAGGGCTAATATTTTTCCGCTCGCCAGTGGTCACTAATTGGGACTGAAGTGAAGTTATTTATTACACTGTGTCACCATAAATGTGTGTGTACCTATGTATGTACCTACACAAAGCAATGCCTCAGTGGTTGTTGTTGAATTTTTTGCACATTTTAACTGTCTTTATATTACTTTATTTTTAAGAATACGTGTAGGTTTCTAATCCATTTTCTTCTAAATAGTACAAAATATAACTAATATTAAAGAAAGAAACATTAGCCCTTATATGTTCCTCACAATTCAACTTCCCCTCCATCACATTGTCATATATTTCATCTCATGCATAATCACATAATTGGCACCGAACTAGCAACAGAAAAAGAAGTCTCATTGAAAGAAACAAAGTTAACCACGCGGGCTATTTAACAAAATATAATTAAACCGTGTACGTGTGTGTAATTTACAAGTGATTAACAATATGACATCTCGTCATCTAGACAGATGGCGCTAGGCGATGTTTTTTATTCCTCATATAAAACTGTCATGTGTTTTAGAATATTATGATACAACGAAAATAACGTTTCTATATCTACTAATAATTGCGAGGGTCACATAACAGTTACCTAAGAAATCCCACGCCAGCTTCATAGGGATTCACTTCTTCTGAAGCATTTTACAGATCTTTAGCATCAAGGAATAAATTTGCTTGAAGTTAATAAACGCTTAAATAACAAAGAACGCTTAAGTATCAATGGTATCACGCGTGGTGACCCCTCAATAACACGAAACACGAATAAGGACACGAGTACAAATACAATTCTTGCCAACGTAGTATAACTATATCTTATAAAAAAGGGCCGTAGAGTAGCCTCTTCGGCTTTTATATAGTCAACAATAAACCACATTGATATTATATTATGTTGGCTGCTTTATTTGTCCAGCACTTACGATAAATAGTAGCTTTACGGTGTAACATGAACTGTTAACAATATTTCAATGAAACCAGAACATAAAAGCAGAATTTCTTAAAGATTGTCTACAATCACCAGTACCTGCAATAAATCTTTATCTGTGAAATTAAAAAAATTTGCTTGTGTATTGTATAAACATAAATAACAAAATTTGTATGTTTTTAAAACAAAAGATACAAAAATATTTATTTTATTTTTTATTTATTCGGACTCAAACTTTATAAAACTGTATCCTAATGCATTTATTATACAGGGTGGCCCATAAGTCCCTTGAAATGTAAAAAAATAATTAAAAAAAAACTAATGACATTATGAAAAAGGTTTTTATTTTGTCATAATCCTTATAAAATGGGAATTATTTTTTGAAAATTACATCATCTAAATGTAATCCGTTACGATCGCGGCACTCCTGTAAGCGACGTTTAAAATTATCCATCACTGCGTGGCAAGTAAGCTCTGTAATGTTTGCCATTTCTCTTTGGATATTTTTTCTTTCAGGACGTCAATTGTCCGCGGGTTGGTTTCGTACACTTTAGTCTTAAGATAACCCCATAAGAAAAAGTCCATTGGGGTCAGATCTGGACTACGTGGTGGCCAAGGAATATCTCCTCTTCGAGAGATCACTTTATTAGGGAAAAGTTGACGGACGACCGGCATAGCGACGTTAGAGGTATGGGCAGTTGCTCCATCTTGTTGAAACCAGGTCCGCGTATTGAAGCCTGGAAAATTCTGCAACTCTGGTGTAAAAAAGTCCTGGATCATAGCTACATACCGTTGTGAAGTAACAGTAAGCGCGCGGCCTCTGCCGTCCTCAAAAAAGTAAGGGCCTATAATGCCATGCGCTGACATAGCCGCCCAAACTGTCACTTTAGGGCTATGTAAGGGCTTTTGATGTTTGCGATTTGGATTTTCGCAACTCCAGTAGCGACAATTTTGCTTATTGACATGGCCGTTGATGTGAAAGTGAGCCTCATCAGAGAATAACACGTTATTAAACGAAGTAAAGCGGTTCAACATTTCATTTGCGAAATTTAGTCTGTGGATAGTGTCAGTATCTTTTAATTCCTGTACTAACTGAATCTTGTACGGGTGAAGATGTAAATCTTTCTTTAAAATTCGCTGTAACGATGTTCTGGGTAAGTTTAATGCACTGGAACGCTTACGAGTAGACTGGGTAGGATTTTCACGAATTGAGTGTTTCACTACATCGATGTTTTCTTCCGTCCGTGATGTCCTTGGTCGACCTGACCGTTGTTTATCCAACGTCGAACCACTCTCTTCGAACTTAATAACCCAGTTCTTAATCGTTTGAACACTTGGAATGTCTTTAAAGTTGCGTAAATTCTGATATTCTCGAAATTTACGCCGCGCAATGGTAGCCGAATCATTGTTTCGATAAAACTCGCGCACACAAAATGCACGGTCCGCACCGGTGAAACGCTCCATGGCGACTGAATTCCCAGAAACCAGTGTTGCCAAGTCTGAAATCTAGCGGACGGTAGAATTCTTCTAAAAATACGGTAGAATTTTCGAAATTATGTTGTAATATATATTTGAAATACGGTAGAATTACCTTGTTTATTTAGTAGCATGTTATGGGTCAGAGTTAAAAAAAAAACATATTTTTAATCAGAATCGGACAGTATAATTGTTTCAATATTTTTATACATATCATTGTTATGTTTTGCGATCATAGCGTGAGTGGGATTAAAATCAAC